GAGCCAAAGATTCCCTCAGCACACACTTTGCTCAGCTGAATGAGCCCCTTTCTTCATGTGTGTCTCCATGAGAACATTCTGTTAAAAAACCAAATCACCTCAGCCCATTTCTTTCTACCTGGTCCAAAGGGAATATTTTTTTGACCAGGACACAGGATTTATGCTTCCACATCACTTCCTACCACTTTCACATGGCACCAATACTTTTCTGTTTCTACTGGAAATACCTCACCCAATTCAGACTCAAAATGCATTTGCTTTTTTCATGACTGAGGAAAAATCCACTTTTGTGGTTTACAATCATTCGGAGATTAAATACTGCTCTACAGACTTTACCACCACCCTTCCAAAACTCTGTTCACAACACAATATATATTAGGATGCATATATAGTGTATATGTTACATATACACTGCAGTTTGTATATTTTTATTTAAAAAACAACTCCCAGATGATTGGGAGAATTTGTGGAGAACTGCATTTCCATTTGTGGAAAACTGCATTCATCCCATTTATTCCATCCCAGCCCTCAAGGTCATCCACTTTTTCCTGGATGATTTCCCTAACTTCCTCTGTCAAGACAATGCCTCTCAGCATCATGGCATCAGCAAATTTTAACTTCATGAGCACACTGCTACGATTTGTGCCAAAACCCTTTCTGAAAATTAAAAAATACCAGTTTTTAAGAATGAGAGCTGAAGGTCCCTGCTTGCAACCCCATCTCAGCCAACCCAGCCCTTGTCACCTCACCCAAAGCCAGCCCCTGCTCACTTTCCAATTTCCTTACTAACCCCCGTCTTCTTGTCTGAATAGATCCCTGCATGGACTGTATCAAATCTTCACTCAAGTCCAAAGAGATGAAATTCTACTGAATTTCCTTGGGGTAGAAAATCAGTTATCTTATCAAAAAAGTTATTAGATTAGCCTGGCAAGATCTATCTTTAGAAAATCTGTGTCACATTTTATCCCATTTTTCCCTCAACAACATGTCTTTAATCAGTCTTTGCTTGAAAAAACATTCAGAGGCCTTGCACTAACAGCCTGGAATTTTCCTTGGATCATTTCTCATCCTTTTCAAATGTTGGGCATTACTATTATTAATCCTTAGAGTTATGGCATCACTCCAGGCTTTGTTAAAAATATTTCCCTCTGACCCCCTGGTTTTGTGAGGCAGCTTTTTCTCATCGCTGGAATAGAGGTTATTTGGTCATCCTGATTTGAGTGCATTAAGCTGCATAATTTTCTCTTCTTTTATTACTGTTTTTCCATTTTCATAACCTTGTTGCTATTATTTGTTTCTCCTCTTTGAACAGGATTTCCCCCCGCCCAAACCAGAGGCAAAGTATTCACTGAAGTTCTTGGGTGATGGCATCTGTTGGCACTGATGCACATCTCTCAGTGATGTTCCAGCATCTTTACATCCTCCGGGATTGCCACGATATATTGCCACCAGAAATGAAGCCCCTGACCCTGATAAAAGGCACAGCAGCCTTAGAGCTGAGCAACACAGGATGTGCCTCCCTTTCTCTGTTCCTCTGCCATCAGCCTCCAGCTCCCAGATGCAATCATGCACCAGCGATCCTCCCCACCACATGCCTAACACACTGGGGTTTGTTTCAAATGAACATCCCACAGAATGGAGGAAGGAAATATGTGCAAAGAGCTTCTTCTGTTTAGCTGGAGCAAGAAGAAAGGCACCCCTTGCAAATGTGATGATGAGGAGAAGTCAACATCTGTTTGCAGCCAGATAGTGCCTGTGCAGGCTGAGCAGCTATGCTACCTTATTACAGTAGAAAGACAGGTTAACACAGTTTTTAACATCAGGCCCCTTTCAGACAACAAATTACCTTCATGCCTTCATTAATAAAAGCTCTAGAATAGGTAGCAGAGTACCCTGCTACCTGAGAGAGCCACCTCGACTGACTACATCCAGCTGCCTCAGGTGGGTATATGTGAGGTTTTATTTAAGTGTGCTGTCACACTTAAATATGACAATATCCTGGACACTACTCGGGTTTCTGTCTCAGTGAGCTGTTATACATCCACCACTCAACCCGTCTGTGAAACCCATCTCCTTGCAAAACGTGGAAACAACTGGTCTGTCTAAAGCTTTCACTCCTGGGGGAAGGTGAATGCCTACATCCCTGCTCATCTCCCAAAGCTGATGAGAGGGAAGAAACTTTCTGGCACATCTGCTGCTGTAAAATGAAAAGAGATCACGAAAGAGACAAGCAGCTCCTGACTAATTTCAGCTTCCCTCATTCCTCTACACAGAGCAAGAGCAGCTCCTCTTTCAGAAGAGGAAAACATTGCAAGAAATTAAAGTGGTGGGTTTTTTTAAAAGGCTCAGAAAAAGGGCAAAAGAGAGGAATGAAAGGTAGGAAGAAAGCAGAGATGATTTACAAAGCCACAGAATGGGAACCTCACTGCTGGAGTATGTGATTGTGCTGGGAAGTGTCACATGAACTTGCAGGGAGACCTCCATGCTGTAGTTCAGATAAGAAGCTGAACATTTGCGTTTCATCCGAACTGTTCCTGAACTTCACAGCCTTTGAGATCCTGCCAATCTCTCTCTCTCTCTCCCCATATGCATGTTTTTCCAGTGTGGAAGCTGATTTTGCTTTATGCACTTGAAATGACAGGTTGTGAACCAACACCATGGAACGATGCAGTATCACCTGGGACCATGGGAACTTTTGGGTTCAGCTCTCTGTGCTTTAGGGACTAAAGAAGACTGCTAACAAAAGCTTAGAAATTGAACCATTTTCAAGGTTCTACTTAATAAACTTTTCCCATAGAAGTCACAAAATTTATCAAGCTAACTGCACTTAAAATCCTCTGGCTTCCATCCATCATGCAGCTTACTTGAAACGCCATTCCCCTGCAAAGTTACTTTATTTCTGGCCCCAGTGCTAAAAATTATGGAATTGATGCTCCTCGAGGAGTTAAGAATTGGAAAGGACCCCTCCCTAATGGGGAGGAGTGAGCGGTTGGTGTTTGGCTTATGAAAATCAGGAGTGCTGAGGGTCTGCTGAATACAAATAAAAAATTACAGGCTGCAAAGTTCCAAATTAACATCCTGATGACTCACATTGCTCTTCAGAAAAGCTCAGTCTTCCCTTTGATCTCAGCATTACAGGCAGCCAGGGTCTTATTTGCAGCTACGCAAAGAACCTGCTGCACTACACCAGCAGTAGGCACAGACCTCAAAATAAAACCCAAGGTACACAAACACTCATCTGCCAGCACAGCAGAGAGATTGTCATTTTGGGACATCAGTGGATGAATCCAGCCCCTGCAGTCAAATACAGGCACACTGCAAAGGCTGGTCTCTCTAAAATCTAGAATTTGTCTCAGGAATAGTTTTCCCTTTTCAGTTTCATTGGATTAATCTCAGGCCATGCTCTTCAGGCTCAATCTCACTTTTAAGACAAGCAAGACAACAAATAACTTGTATTTTTTATGAAATGAATTATTGATGGCAACTTTAAACTAAGTGCTGATTTGTTCCCCATAATTAATACATTCTTCTGCAGTATAATACAACTCCTCACAACTTCAAATTATTCTGAAACTTCCTAATAAAAACCAAAATTTTGTAACAGTTGATGAGATTTTTTTTATATATATGTATATACATACACACACACACACGCACTGTCAAAACAGAATTTTGGGTCATATATTGTGAGGTTTTTTAATCCACAGGTATTTTACTGTAGCTACCTTAATTTTTAAGACAGAGCATATAGAATAGAAACATTACTGCCTTATTTGCAATCCTACCTAAATACTTGGAGAAGTATTAAATTAATTGTACCTTTCCAGAACCAGGTACCAGGTCTTCTGACTGCGTGTAGAACCTGTATCTGTAAGTCCTGGCATTTCAGTAGGGACACAGAAATATCTGCAGCACTTCTGGAAATGAGGGCCATGGTGGGCACATCAAAGGGAAGCAATTACAGCCAAGGTTTGAAATCTGAAATGCTCATGATTTGGCTTTTGAAATTCCATATGTTTTTCCAATTAAATATTAAATAGCTGTGGCTATAAAAAGCCCATGTAGATCTAGAAGTGAAGTATTATACTCTCTGGTGAAAGAGCACGCCAAGGCCAGAGTCAACAGAAGGCAGCTGCTCCCATGCAGGTCACAGCTAATCATGTAAAGCAGCCCTCTGCTTTCTGTGATGCAGGAAGGAATGCATCCATTGCTGTATCAAGAGGCAGACTGCTGGAAATTGGGGGTTTGTTACATATTTTGAAGCAATAGCAGTGAATCATTTTTGCTTTGGCAGATTCAGAACCCCTTTTCATACAAACATCAAAAACCAAGCATATTCTTGACTCCAGAACAGTCCTAGAACGTACTTTTATCCAAGTACATAATAATAAGGCAAAACAGACACTAAAAACATATCCTGGCAATAAATACTTTAAGACTTCATTAGAAAACCAAAAGGTCACATCTGATACACGAAAAAGTCAAATTATCTAGGCTGACATTTACAAGTAATTTGAGTTGACATTAGCATAAAAAATACAATTTTACTCTAAGAAGTAGTCTTACCTCTAAGTTTAAATGTGCCCTTAAGCATTAATGCTGAAAACAAAGCCCTGAAAAATATCTGCAGCCCTTCCAATTACATTTCAGTATTTCACAGCAAAGCAGCGTGAATCAGACAATTACCAGGTTTCAGCCCCTCATTAGCAAGCAGAACCTAATAGGAAGAGGGGAAAAAAAAAGCCCCACCACCATGTAAGCTCTGATGAGCAGATATGGGGCTCGATCGAGCTGTGAGATAGTCAGGCACTCATTACCATGCAACCAGCTTATCCACGGATGTGAGCAAACACCAGGAGCTGATTTTGCAACACACACAGCGAGAGCCAGAGCATCTCTGCGCCTCCCAGGCAACAACGGAGCCCTGTGCCCGCCCGCCGTTCCCCATGAAGAGAGCCGCATCCCGCGCAGAGCAGCCGATCCGCATCCCGGGGACTTACTTCAACTGCCGGGGCTCGCAGTCAACTCCCGGCAGCAGGAGCCGGGCCGCCTGCCGCACGTCATCGCTGTCCACCGAGAAACTGCGCCGGTGCCCCGCGTGAGCCACCGCCACCCGAATCCACTCCATCAGCGGAGGCAGCACGATGAACGGCCTGGGGAGCACACAAACATCAGTGCCAAGGCACACGAGCAGCATCACAACAACAGGTAGAGGAGCAGAGAGCAGGGGGTGAGGGTGTGTGCATGTATGTGTGAGAATATAAATATGTACAGAGAGAAGGGAGCAAGAATAAAGACAGAGAGAACAAACCAGCTCAGCAATTTTCAAACAGGTCTAAATCAAGATGTCTCATCCTGTCTCCAGAGCAGCACTATTTGGAGAGTGAGATTTATGAGCTATGCTCGTCCATGGGGCACTGCGAGGTCAGGGTACCTGACTGGCAAGTCCTCCTCCCATCCTTCACATAGTGTAATCCCAAAAAGAGGACAGGAGCCTGGCACAGGACCAGGTCCTGCTCTGACACGCTGGCCTGGGCTCTCTTTGCAATAGGGACAGGAGATCAGACCTGGCAGAGAGAGGGGGTGCCCCAACACTGAGATGCCAAGGATAGACAGGGAATGCCCTAGAAAGTCTCCAGCATCTCCTGCTGATGCAATGGGCACCCTGTGCTCAGTGCTGAAAGTGGGGGGTTTTGCATCCAGTGTGAAGGTTAGCTGTGAGCGAGGTCAGGAATCAGCATCCAGACTGCCTGGTCCCACTTTTAGCACTATCAAACTGCCACACCTTCAGGTACCAGCTGTTCTGCCAAAGAACAAACAAAAGTGCCCCCAAAGTGAATGCTGGGATTCTGGGCCACACTCTCACAAAGTCTGGGCATTATCAGAGACATGGTCCTTCCCTCCACAACACCTGGACAGCCCCATGTGCCAGCAAGAGCTGCCCAAGCTGGAGATGAAGCATGCAGCACAACAGTTCGCTCCATCTATGCTAAGAATTATTTGGGAATCAAGAGAAAGATGCCAAACCACATGTAAAAACCATAGCTTCAAGTTGTGTTTCAGAGGAAAATTAATAAAATAACTGCAGCTGAACACCTTGAAGGTCACTGCAAATCTCTTGCTTGCCTTTCCTTCTGCGGTCCCTTTTCATGGAGGAAGGGGGAAAAAAAAGCCTGCATTAGCTACAGAGTAGGCAAATATTTTACATTTTAAATGTATAACTTTACCTCAAAAAGTTATACCCTGAGAAAAATTATTTAAGAAGATGTTGACTCTGGAATATCCTTTCCCTATTTATAGCTCTCTATGCATTTATTTCCCTTTTTGAGGACTTGGCTTTACATAGCTCTGATATTAATATTCTTGAGGGGGATGAGATACTTCAGAAGTGCCAAAGGACAGAGAAGCCCTGAGGCCACTGACTCTCCCTAGGACGCTGGGTTCCCAAATCTCACAGGCATGTAAATGAACAACCTCTTTTTGAAATATGACATCTTTGGCTGAGTTGCCACTTCTATAGTTTTTCTATTCCAACACATCACCATCACCTCAAGACTGGGTTGCATTTGTTTCCAAGGCCTTTGCTCTCTCCAGGCCTGCCACAGCCACTTAAAGAGGCAGATAAGGACAGAAGATCACCTCCCACAGCTCACACAGAACAACTTCCTAACCCAGCTCATTTGTCATGAGAGTGGTGGGAGCCAGAGGAGGAAAAGAGGCAAAGCAGGGGTGTATTTGTTCCTGGAAGGTGACTGCTTCCCAGGTCATCTTCAGAGCAGAAGAGACCCTCTTTTGAGGCATGAAATACCTGGGAACAAGTGATCAGTGGGAGTTTTTTCATCACTTGCTGAGCAGACAGCAGAAGGGGGGATGCAAATCACACTGCGAAACTGCATGTAGTTACAGATATAACTTGGTTCTAGGAATACAATTAAAGGAAAACTCAATTCAATGTTATGTTTTGCGTGAGTGAACACAGTTTGGATCAGAGAAATGAAGAGAGGCTGGTACAGCACCTTCCTGTAACATCTGCTGGGCACAGAGAAAAGTAGAGGGCTGTGGCTGAACAGGGGGTTCAGAGGTTCACACTTCTTCCTCCTCTTGTGCAGGACAGAAACTCACCCAGCACAAAATCTGTCCCACCACAGTAAGGAATTGAGCAAAGAAACGTATTTACAGGAACTCAGATAAGTGCACTATAAAATTGCCTCTTTTTTTCCCTGTTCCAGTCTTGAAAATTTCAACAGAGAAACAGAAATGAGCAGGGCTATTTGGTGCAATAAATCCCAAGAGGAAAGGGAATCAGTGTTCTGCAGAAATGGGGAAATTTTCTATAAAGTCCAATTTCAATCCCTAGATGAGGATATGGAGTTTGCTCACAACATATTACATTCCTTTTTCCAAGGGAAAGAAAAATCATCACTGCATATCTCAGCATGTCAGGAAATTTGTATTTTGAGAAAAGAACCAAATATGGCTGAGTGCAATAGGTTAAAAATACCCTTCAAGAATCTGGGCACCATGTGAAGGGCTGGGTTTTTTCTTTTAAGTATTGCTTGTGTGCCGAAGAGGAAAGAGGAACACAGAGTTATAAGGGTGTAATAATCCACAAGACAATGTGACATCAGCAAGAAATATTTCACTTTTCAACAGCACTGTGTGAAAATGGGTTAGCTAAATGCATCACATCACTGATTTATCTGAGGTACAAAGGCAGGTACCAACTGGGAGAATTCAGTAATTTTGTGTTCCAGAGCAGGCACAGAGCACATAAGTTACCTAGTTACATGCTTTGGAAGCATGGGTCTTAATTAACTGATCTAACCATGGTGCTCAGCTTGATTCTGCCTGAAAGATATGGGAAATCAGGAGCAGCTCAGCTGCTGCATAAGCACCTTACCTGGGCTGCAGGTGAGTGAGTACTCTGACCTCCTCCTCCAGCCCTTCTCTGTACCTGTGCTTAACTTTAAACGAATGCTTCCATTCTCTAATTCCATGCAGTTTAAAGTTAAGTATGGACTTAAAAAAAAAAAAAGTAAAAAAAAAAAGCAAAAAAAAAAAAGCGCTTTTTGGCACAGACTTGTATTTTCCTGAGCTCACATCTAAATGGAAAAATATGCCAGATCAGGATGCAGGGAGAGGTCTCTGCACAGAGCAACTCCCATCCCACACACAAGAGCTGGGAGGTGGGGGAGGGCTAGAGGAGGCCAACACAAAGCACATCCCCAAAGGATTGGACCCTTCTGGGCCCTGTCCCTCTGCCCTTGGCAGGGGGGCAGCTGGCTCCTCTTGGGGTGTTGCATTCTCCTGTTTCATCAGAAAAGGCAATTATGAGTGCTCCACCAACCCTCAACTCTCTGGTTCCTCCTCCCAGGCAGCATCCTTCCCTGTTCCCTCCTGCCACCCTGCACTCCTCTCACATCTAATTTTGGACAGTCCCATAAGCTTCTATGCCTTGAAGACATCTGCAAGTAGCAACACTCTGCTGGCACTACCCCACAAGGGACAAGTCCTCACTGTGCTGGCTACCAGAGGTCCTCCTCCCCACTGCCTTCACACACTGCAGCTCCCTGCCAGCACCCTCCCTCTAGAGTGGGGCAAACAACCCCTCCCTACCCCATCAGAACTCAAACTTATCTCAGTTTTGTAGGGCTGATGTCTCTGAAGCACTCTGAATTACAGAATGACTCATCAGAAAAGCAGATGCTATGGGGGGGAACCTAAATGTAATCATATGAGGGGTTCCCTAAAGCCTCCACTCCCTCCAGAGCCACACACAGCCTTCCTGGGCTGCCCACCACTCCCCCTCCCTCACCTGCTGGCACACAGAGATATTAAAAATCCTGTCATGCATATGCAATAACTCAGGCTTTTCCATTATTATTAGCAGTAGTAGTAGTATGTTATTGTTATTGTTGTTATGGTAGCGGTCTACCTGTATGTAAACAGGAGAAATTGTCAGGTGGAAGACCATGAGAAATTGTGCACCATAAAATGCAATAGGATGCTTCATTATTTTTGCATGGGTCTGTGAGAAGATAAATGAAGCTCCTGTCTGGACACCAGCTGCTGCAATGCCAGATTTGCAAAGCACTAGGGCCAGCACTCTGAAAAATTCCAGCTCCAAATAATCCCTGGCCCTGGTTTTTCACAGTTCCTACCATCTTTGCAGGGTGCAGAATCCCTCCTGGCTGCTGACCAGCTTCACAGTCCACCTTCTGCCCAGAGCAGGGCCACTACACACAACCACTCTCCTTGATTTCCAGCAGTTCTTCCCCTCACCAGCTGCTCCCTCTCCCCTACAGAGAATAAGAACACTCACCACCTCTGAATGCTCCTCACACAGGCTCACAAACCCTGGAGGGCCACAGCCCCTTGTTCCAGCAGAGCCTACAGTGTGCTCCAGGTCTCAGAGCTCATCAGTACACATGAGAGATTCCCAGATAATCAGAGTGCTCCAAGGAAAAAAATCATCATTTCAAGTGCAGCACAACAGCCTCTTTATTTCCAGGGGCACTTCACACTGCTCTTCTCCAGACGCCTATGGAGCCCTTGCCCCACCACATGCACTTACTGCCTGAATTAAATCAAACTTTAGGAAAAGGACTGGCTTGATAATCAATGGGAAGGGAGAAATTCCTGAGGCATAATCCTATTGGGATGTGAATTCCCACAGTTATCTCCTGTTGTCCCTGCCTCAGCTTCCCCAGCTGTGAAGAGGACATGGCTGAAAGACCTGACCTTGCTTTATCTTGGTTCAACTGCTACAATTGCTTCAGATGATGTGTTTGCAGGATCCTTTGGTTGCTGAGGAGGGTGGTGCTGCTGGAGGTGTGGAGTTTCTTCTCTCACTCCAGCCAAGGATTGCTGACTGCCAGCCTTTATGGATACAACAGGCAAATTGGTACACAGAGGTCGCTGCTGTTTAAATTTGCAAAAGCTACCAAGCAAAATTTAAAGGTGCTTCTCAGAAGCATAAGGCAGTGCTTTTTACACGAAAAAGCCTTTCTAGATAAAGGTAGGGAGACTTTTTTTTTTTTTTTTTTTTTTTTTTTTTGGCAGATGTGAGTCAGCAACTTTAACATTGTAAAAAGCTCTTTATATTTGTTTGGTTTGTTGACATTTCCATGGGTGGTTTTTAAAGAAAATTCCA